TTAATATTTATGAATAAAAGGAAAGTTTCCAAGTTCTATCTATTGGTGGTTGGCAATTGGAACTATCTAGATTAAATTTGAATACATCATATCATTTTTGTGTATCGACGCCCATGAACCGATTATTCACTTGTAATAATCAATTAAGGTCGAATTTTAGACTGTGCAAGTTGGACTATAGCACAGGACCCCCAAATTTTAGAGGGTTCAATATTTAATTTTTATCTAGCTAGTCTAGAAATAAAAATAAAAAGGAATAAGGTCAAATAGGCCACTGAACTGCACACCAGAGTGCAATTAGGCCATCGAACTAAAAAACAATGCAATTGAGTCCCTGAACAACACAAAATTATGCAATTAGGTCCAAAATGACCTGTTTACCTGAAATGACGGTTACCAATTTTAAAATAATTTTTAAATATAATTTTAAATAAAATAATTAAATAAAATTTTAATTAAAAAAAAAAATTGTTGGTCCTGGTAGGGTCGAAAGAGAGTCTAGAAGGGAGGGGGGTGAATAGACTCTAATCGAATTTTCAAAGTGACTCCTTTCGGAGTGATGCACAGCGAAATAAAATGTTTCGTTTTTAAGTTTTCTTTGCACAGTTTCGCTATGAACTCTTAATGTTTGGTCAATGGGATATGCAATGCACGAAAGATAAAGAACAGTAATTAAAGAGATATGGAGAGAGAGATTTTTATAATGGTTCGGTTGTTAACGAAGCCTACTCCACTCTTCTTTCACAACTTGTGAAAGGGTTTGCACTATCAGTACAAACTAATTCAAGCTAGCTTCCTTGATCACTAAGCCGGACAGCTACTTGGTAGGTTTTTCAACTACTCGAGTTTACTCCGTCTCTATCAACTTCTTCCTTAGAGTTGAGTGTTGGAAAGAATATGTTGAGTTTCTCTAGCAGGTTGAAGTCTTGTCTTGTTGTCTGGATGAATCTTCACGTGAGAAAAGATGCAAGACTTCTTCAAGTTTGTGAAGTGTAAATGATGAATGAACCTCTTTGAAAACTTCACAAACCCAACACGCTGGTTATGAAAAGCTTTTGAGATGAGAATGTTTGAAGAGCTTTTCTTAGGATAGCAACAGTTGAACAGCCAGCACCTTCTTCAATGATGAAGAGAGGTATTTATAAGTGAGGGAAAAATTCATCCGTTGGAGGGAGGTGAAGATTTTGAACCTATTAACCAGTGGGCATAGAGCATTTAATGTGGTTGTACTGTGTAGCCGTTGGTGTCAAAATCATTGTGGCTTTTGTCCCTTTCTCTGACAAGATGGTACAATTCTTTTAATGCTCCTTGGCTTTTGTGAATATCATTCCTAGGACACCTTTTGTCTCGAATGATTGCCCATCTGTGAGTTATAGACAACATCTTTATTGCTTCACTTAATGAAAATTGCCTTTACAAGTCTGACTTAAACTTGTTTCCTTAGAGAGATTCTTCGAAAGATTTGGAGGTTAGAGGTTTAAAACTTGAGTGTTGCTCCAACTTTAAACATCTCACTTTTTTTTAAATCCTTTTGCATTGCGAGTTGTGTACATTATTATTATTATTATTATTATTATTATTATTATTATTATTATTATTATTATTATTATTATTATTATTATTGTAATTTATTCCATAATATGTTTTTTGTTTTTTTTTTCTTTGCACACAACAACATTTTACCACCTTATCATTAGAAAAAAAAATACGGTATTGATTTTTAAAATTGTGATTTTGGTAGGGCCTTATTTATTTACCAGAATGGGGCCACAGAAATCTAAAAACCGGCCATGTAACCAATTATTAGGGATCCGACGAGCAAAATAGTCGACTAGTCACCTTCACCATTGAAGAAGATGACTGGTGGTCGCCTCATTCAATGAAGAAGAAGGCAACTTGTTTGTCACCTTCATCCTCAAAGGAAGCAAACGACGGTCACCAATTTCACTCACCAGAACATTAATAATCGGCCATTACAAGTGAATGATTGGTTCTTGGACATTAATGAACGAAAATGACATACTGATGTGTTAAATTACAATTTTTAAAAGTTTAAGAGTCAAATTATATATATATATATATATATATATATATACATATATATATATATATATATATAAAGTTCAAGACTTATTTGGCCCATTTCTTAAAAATAAAATCTAATTAATGAATGAAGAATCCAGAATCTAGAAAAAAAAATTAAAAATAAAATCACATATCAACTAAAATTGTAGGAAACTTTTCATTACTTTTAAGATATCAACAATAAAAGCATAATACAATAATCAGTCAAAGTGTTTCAATATACCTTTTTTTTTAGACTTTTACTATGAAAAGTAATAGTAATATCATCAAACCACAAGGTACTTGACAATTACAATAATAGAATTTAAAATTATTTGCTTGATTTCTTCTCTTAAAATCATATTAAATATCTAACTTATAAATATCTATTAGTCTAAATAATGTATCCTAAATGAGTGTGGTAAAATAAGATATGTCACTACTGGAAATTATGAAATTTCCGACCACCTGAAAGTGATTTTAAATCAAGTTGATACTAAAAAGTCTAAAAAGTGGTCGGAAATAGCAACAAAGGTTTTTCCGGATACCAAAAGTGGTCAGAACAAGGCTTTCAACTTGATTTAAGATCACTTTCAGGTGGTCAGAAATTTCATAATTTCCAGTAGTGTGTGCAAATGTGCAAATGTGCAAAATTTTGTTGAAGGCAAACTATAATTTGTTGTTCCTGAGCGAAGATAGAAATCTAAAAGAGAGAGGGAGGGAGGGGAGGGGTGAATAAACTTTTTTATGATTCAAAACTTCTGAAAACAATAGTGTGTTACGCAAAGAAAGTTTTTAAGCTTGCCTTAAAGATATTTGTGTAGCTTTAAATTAAAGCGTAAGCATGTGAAATATTAAGTTGAACATAAATGTAAAGGGATTAGGGTAGAGAGAGATTGAGTCAAAATTTTTATAGTGTTCTGGGTTAACAATACTCCAGTGTGTGGGCACAATTTCATAGCAACTATAGTGAAAAGCATATTCCTAAGCTTGAGATATGGCATGTTTGATGAGTCGCAGCTAGAAGGTCGAGCGATCCTCTCACTGCTGGAAATTATCATTTTTCCGACCTCATTCCGACCACCCAAAAAATGGTCACAAAAAGTATTTTTTTTTTTTGTTTTTTCGTCCAAAACTTGCACTAGTCGAAAAATGGTCTAAATTTTCGACCACTTTCTCTTAGTGGTCAGTAAATACCGACCACTATTTAAATGTAGTCGGAAAATTATTTCGAACTTGAAAATTTTAAAATTAATATTTTCTCCCGACAACCATAAGTGGTAAAAAAATAAATAAATAAATAAATATAAGCTCAGCTCCACCATCCATTTAATTTCCTCCCCTACTGCTACTTCGAAGTTCGAACTATTCATCTCACTCGATCTCCATCCATCTCTCAATCGACGCTGCTTCCCCCGCTGACGCTGCCCTCTCCTTCTCCGCCGACGCCGCCTCTCCTTCGACGCCGACGCCGACGCCGCGAACCGCCGCGACCTACAGTAGACACCACCGCCATTCCGTCTCGACTAGCCACTCACCCTGCTAGCCTTCACCACCACCACTGCTAGCCTCCACCACCGCTGGTAAGTCTTCCTTCGAGTTTTTTGTTATTTATTTCTTCTCCTAATCCCTAAAATCAAACTTGACGGCTCAGATCTGGACGGATTCGCTTTGTTTTCGCTCAGAATATACTCGCCGGAAGAAGTAGAACCTGAGATTCAAGCTTATAGCCGGCATGCATCACCTGCCTAAAGTATTGTCATTCACATAATTGTGTGCCTACAATGTGAAAAACATCTTGATTTTGTACTCGATCTCTTCTTGACTCCTTTAGTGTAAACTAAATGTCTTGATTGTTTCTATTTTGTCTCATATTCCAGCACCAAAAAGAGGTGATATTGTTAGGCAGATTGGTGATGCACTTAGAGCAAAACTTCACTACTTTGGCCGACTTGTTTCACTTGAAATGGGGAAAATACTACTCGAAGGAATTGGGGAGGTTCAAGTATGTATACTTTACTAATTAAGTCTGGTGTAACAAAAGAGTTTTATTCTTCTGCAAGAAATGAAACTGTTCTTTGACTTGTTCTCCTGCCAACAATAATGTACAAGTTAATTCCATTTTCCCTAAGAATAATTGATGGTTGTCATTTCTAAATTACTTACTACTTGGGCCTATGTGCTAGTGCATAATCATCTTGGATCTTCCTTTTTTATTATCACATTTTTTCGAATGGCTATCACATATTAAATTGGCAACTTAAATGCAAGTGATGATACTAATTACTGATTAGTTATATATTTTCTTTTAGCATTCATGCCAGAATGAATTAGTGATATAACTTTGAAAACAATTTAATCAGGAAATTATTGACATGTGTGACTTCGCTGTTGGTTTGAGTTGACAACTAAATGGATCAGTCATACCATTATAACGTGAGTCCACTCTTCTTCACCTGCTTATATCTGATTTCTTTGTAAATGCTCTAGGAGTTATATTTGTGAGGATATCTTTCTTTTCCTTGTTGTCTCTTCTCTAGATTAATTAGCTCTACTTGGTTTTAAGATAAGGTAGAAGTGAATCAGATACAATCAGAAAATTTATGATCTGGATATTGATATGTTGCTTCTTCTGGATTTTTGGGCTTCTTTGCAATGTTTTTTCAGAAGTTCAATTTAATTAGTTGTGTTTTTTTTTTTCTTTTTTTCAACAGGCCCTAATCATGTGATGTTGGAGGTGAAGTAGATAACAGACCATAATTTTGGTATTATGTTTTTTTTTTTCTATACTACACTTGATGTTCCTTGTCTATTCTTCATGGACAGGTGTGGAATCCTCTAGAGGTAGTTGGTGTTATTACAGCTTTTAAGGAGAATTGCGATTTCTTGATGGTTTGCAATATAGTTTATCAGTTATAGAGTGTTGCTTTGTCATTTGTGAATTCACAAGAGTTTCTGAGAATGTTTCTGGTGATTTAATATTTTGGTATGGCATTATATTGGTGAAGTTTTTACCAAACACACTATTAGATGATCACTTTGACATTAATGAGTAACTTTTTCGAACATGATTGTACAGGATGGAATGCATGCATTGCATTAGTATGTGGCAACTGTGTTGTCTGGTAATTTCCTAACCAAAGTCGTCTTAGATTATGATAGCAACTATTTGAAAATAAAATATTTGATTTTTATTGGTCAGCGGTTTCTCACTGGATTTCTTCTATGCTTAAGTGTTTTCTTCTAAATGTACATAGTGCATAGTTTTCTTAATATGTTGACTTAATCCCTTCAAAAGTTTGGATGTCTTAGAGAGTGACAATCCTACTTCTTGATTCAAGTCCATGTTTGAAATCCTCTTTCATATTTAAATTGGATTCTATTTTTTAATTTGTTTGTCTAGTTTATGATCACAGGAAAGGTGCGCCAACTACACCATTGGTTACAATAGCAATGACAAAAATTATTGATGGGGTGTTAGAGAAAAACAATTTGCCTGGTGCAAGTTTCACTGCTTTTTGTGGGGGTGCTGAAATTGGTCAAGCCATAGCAAAAGATACACGAATCCCTCTAGTGTCATTCACTGGTAGCTCAAAGGTAACTTGTCTCACTTGTTTCTGGCAATCATTTACCGACAGATAATATTGATCGCTATTATTCTGACTGCCATTTGCCACCTTTGTATTTGACCTACTTGTGTTTGTGCCTACTGCAGGTGGGTCTTTCAGTACAACAAATAGTAAATCAGAGGTTTGGTAAATGCCTACTTGAGTTAAGTGGTAATAATGCTATAATTGTAATGGATGATTCCGAAATTGAACTTGTGGTTCGTGCTGTTTTGTTTGCTACGGTTGGAACAGCTGGTCAGTGCTGTACAACATGCCGTAGGCTGGTAAAAATGATTTTTTTTTTAATAATTCCTATTACACTTTATTGTGTAATTATTTCATTTTAAAAAATTGGCTAATACTCTTCTTTGTGATTCCTTACAAAAAAGCTTCTTCATGAAAGTATATATCACAAAGTAGTTGAACGACTTCTTGATGTATACAAGCAAATTAAGATAGGGGATCCTTTAGAGAAGGGTACCTTGCTTGGACCATTGCATACACGTGCTTCAAGGGAGAACTTTGAGAAGGGAATTCAGAAAATTATATCGGAGGTATGTACTGTAATTTTCACATTTTTTATTACATAGTATTAAATTACGAACTTTCCATTGAGCTTGATGATTTTAAACTTTCTGGTTGTTATTCTTTTAGGGCTAATTTCTTTATTTTATATTTAATTATACTCTTTTAAATAAATAAATGTTTTGTGACGATTTCTTTATCCTAATTCTGATTGGATCCTCACAGCGCACAGTGTAGCTTCAATAAGCACTATTATCCTGTGATCTATAATTAGCACATTACTCATATCCTAACAGTCTCAGTTTGACAAACTTAAACACTGAAATTTCATAAGCATTAAGCAGAGCTTTATAATAGCATCAATATAATCTTATGTTGAAAACTTAAATGGTGGTTTACACACACAGCCCTATCTTCAAGGTTATCCACCGTTATTTTTGTCGTTCTGAAGAAAACCAAATCACATCTCAAGACAACCAGGCATATAGCAACAATTGGTTTCTTATATGATTTGTTTCTTTGACTCTTGTTTTTTCTATAAAACTTTACTAATAGATTTAATTCTCTGGGAGGCAAGATCCTTACAGGAGGTTCAGTTATACCATCTGGGGGGGAACTTTGTGAAGCCAACAATAGTAGAAATATCTCCAAGTGCTAATGTGGTGAAGGAAGAGTTGTTTGGCCCAATTCTTTATGTTATGAAATTCAAGGTAGCAACTTTTTAATGCAAATTTATGGTTTTCATTGATTAGAAAGTGTTTTGTGTTGTGTCGCATGGACAAACATTGTTCAATTAATGTCTCACTTCTGAGTACCCACTATGCTTGGATGTTGTTGAAATAAACAACTCTGTGCCTCAGGGTTTGAGTAGTTCAATCTTCACCAAGAAACTTGAATATATTCAGGTGGGTTGGATTAGAATTTCAACAGCTTATTTTCTCATTTAGTGAAATTGAAAGGTTATAATCGAATGAAATGTGTATAGTTTTTTCAATAAATATCTGACTAACTTGCAACAATAAATAAATAAACATATATATATATATATATATATATATATATATATATATATATATATATATATATATATATATATATATATTCATTTCATTACAAAGGATTCCTCTGTAGTGAAATGATTTTTTTTAATGACTGCGTCCAGTTTTCCGACCACCAAAGTGGTCGAACTTTTCGACCACCGGTGGTCGGAAAATTGGACCCGCCTAACTATTCTCTTGGCCATTTTTTTCGACCACCTTCGAAAAATGGTTACTCTTTCCGACCACTCTCTCTGGTGATCGGAAATAGCTAGAGGGATTTTTCCGGATACCCGAATTGGTCGGAAAAGAGGTCAGAACAGGCGTTTCCGACCTAATTAAGGCCATTTCCGACCACTTTTTTGTGGTCGGAAAATGACAAATTTCCAACAGTGTCTTGCCGACTTTAGATGTCATTGATAAAATTAATCAGTACATGTGTGACATGAATACTCTAGAAGGACGAATATATTTAGGTTGTGACTCTTTGTGTAAAGTAGAATCAGACAGTAAAAATCTATCAGAAGTACATAGTACACTCCTGATTTCTTAAATAGTTTGAGATTGTCGGGTCATCATAATCATTCATTGACATTAAAGGTCGGTGCAACTGTTATGTTATTGAGGAACATAGACCACTCTCTTGGTCTTTGTAACGCGACACGACTCATCATCACAAGATTGGTAGATCATATTGTCGAAGCAAGAATAGTTAATGTGACACATGAAGGAACCAAAGTTCTTATCCCCCGAATGTCTCTCACTCCTTTTGATACAAGATTGTCCTTCAAGTTCCAACATAAACAATTCTCGTTGATGGTTGCATATGCCATGACTATCAACAAAAACCAAGGTCAAACACTGACTCACGTTTGGTTATTGCTAAAAAATTGGTCTTTAATCACGGACAATTGTACGTGGCTTCTCCCGAGTCACCCATCTTGATGACCTGAAGGTGTTAGCTTTAGACAAGGATGGACAAGATTGTATTGCGACTACCAATGTCGTCTACAAAGAGGTTTTCAATAATGTGTAAATACAATCGATGATATTATGTTTTTTTTTTTCCAAAATGACAAAATTGCTATATATCTAGACACAAATATATCCTTTATACAAATGAATTATGATAACAATTGATTACTATAATTAAGTTGCTAGAGAACAAGCACATTTGTCCAATTTATAAAAATCTTAAACAATGATATATAAAAACTCTAAAGTTACAGCACCGCATGCGTACATCTACACATTAACTATTAATTTGAGCAATTACTTGCTCGAAGTCAAGCAATGGTAACATCAACAAACATAGACGATCCAAATCACATCTTCAATTGCACTATATAATACCGAGTATTTGATGTTATAATTTAAATAATTGTACGTTGATTCAAATATTTTTAATATATTATAACAAATCCATTACGTGCATCGCACGGGTGAAAATACTAGTTATTATGTATAATAACTGAGCTGACATATATTCTTTATATATATATACATACATATATATATATATATATATATATATATATATATATATATATATATATATATATATATATATATATATATATATATATATATATATACTCGAAAATCATAACCAACGTATATTGTGTAGTATCACTGCTGGAAATCTGCACTTTTCTGACCACCAAAAAGTGGTCGGAAAAGGGGTATTTCCGGTCGGAAATGCAGTTTCCGACCAACTTAGCGACCACTTTATGGATTCGGGAAAAAAGTCCTAGCTATTACCGACAACTAGTCAAGGTGGTCGGAAATACCGACTTTTTTTTGAAGTCGTCGGAACTAATAGTTGTCGGATAAGGAGAGCATATTTCCTACCATTGGTGATCGGTAATTGGTCAGAATTACCATCCATCGGTGGTCGGTAAGATTTACCAAGAAAAAATTAAAATTTGTATTACCGACCACTACGGTGGTCGGTAAGATTTACTAACCAAAAAAAATAAAATTTAAAATTCTACAAATATCAAATGAATTTGACCTATTACAATTGAAATTCAAATTTCAATAAATTCTACAATACAATTAACAATTTAGGGAAATAAACATTAGTCAATATTAAATTCTATACTTATATGAAATAAACCTGTTCGCAATGATAGACTCGTAGCTGAAGATAAAATCTAGCCTTAATAATTAACTCATTATGATATAATATAGCAAGTAGGAATTTAAACATACGTGTTAGGATATCTCCTGAAGATGTCTTTGATAACTATAATAGCTTATTGGACAACATAATTTACTTTAATAGCACGAACAGCCCTCCTGACAAAATCAACGTCTACTTCAGTAGCATATTCCTTGAACTCCAAGAGAACCTGCAAAAGTGCTTTCTTTGAGACATAGTGTCATAGGGCTAAAAAAACTTACAACTTAGAATTCAAGATTCCCTTCCCCTTGTATCCTACAACTTACTTGTGGTTCTACAGATGCAGATGCATTTAAGTGTACTGAAAAATTAAACTACTTTAACTTAAACATTGGCACCTAAGAAGCACAAATTTCCCAGGAGCAAGGCCATAATAATCTTTAGTCATTCAGTCTAAAATCAGTATGTTCAATGTATACAATCTTGAAAAAGGGAACCTCTGAATAGAGCAAAACAATGTAGTCAAACAAAAAAATAGATCAATATATTCAAGGCATCATTAATTGTCAGCTCATACATGGAAAACAAACAAGACCAAACAAATTACTCCATAGTTAATTAGAGAGATCCAAGCATATGATTCATCCATTCTCCGCAGCCTCAATCCCCTTTTCTGCTGTTTCTATTCCATATATGAATATTCAAAAATCAAAGAACCTTGATGTGTAAGTTAGACCATTTACCTAGGCTAAACTGTAAACACTTGATTACACAGTGCCCTTTAACTTGGTAAAATTTATCATGCACTCAAGGGCTTAAATTCCATTGCACACACATATGATATGGTGGATAATATCAGCAAAGGCGTTCATTACAAATGAACTTCATATTCAATGTGATTGCACCACATGTTCATTTGTACAAAAGAAGAGGAATAGAACTTAAAAGAAACATGACAATTATTCTTTTGTATTGCATTTGATGTCTATTTGAATTTACTTACAAGTTCATTTGAAATTAAAATGCATGTTTAGCACATTGACATCAGTATGAAGTGAACCAACTATTACAATACAAATGGCTAAGTACACAAACACTTACCCGAATCAATCTCCCTCGCCAGTTCGATCATTTCCTGACAAGGGACAAATGACAAGTTTAAATTACTGTACATCCAAATATCAACAATTGGGCAATTGGCATGTGGTAATTATACACATAATTTCCCTTGGGTAATAGGATTACCATATGGCATACCATACATCCAACTACACACATATATATAATATATATTGTTGTTATTGGCATACTTTGTGTCATTTGCCCTCTTTATCACCGCCTCCACTGTCCTGCATCATCTCAGTAAAAATGTAACACATTTTTTAGGTTACAATGAAATCTGTAGCCACAACCTAGAGTGTGGAAGAGATAAATCTTGCCTACTAACTCTAAACAACGGGGAGTTAAACTAGACCAGTCTAGATTTTCTAAATTGACAAATTCAAATAAAAAAGACTAATAAGTGACTCCCAAATTGGTTTGGGTTGCCCCATCTGGAATTGTTAATACTTAATAGTATGAGATTGATTGAGCTTACTTGAATTTCAGTATAAGCATAACAGGTCCAAAAATTTCATCTTTTGCAATTAGCATGTCATCCTGCATGAGGCAACAAAAGCATATATAAAATGTTTTGGATTCTCTGCATATTGAAGATTTTAACTGCATCCATCTTTTTATGATTGAATTATAGTGTAAAAGGTTTTTACCAGACATCTGTAAATATAGTTGGCTAGATGAAATAGCCTTTTCTGTCCAATGGCTTACCACCAGTTAGCAATGTAGCACCCTCCCTCTTCCCATGCTCTATATATGAAAGTATCTTCTCATACTGGTTTTTGCTAGCCTAAATGCATCAAATAGATATGTATGTTAAAGCATATTGGTATTGGTAAACTTAATGGTGTATATGGCTTGTTTCAAGCAAACTAGATCATACTTGGGGTCCCTGTCGAACATTTGGATCAAAAGGGTCACCAACCACCTTTGCTTTCGCCTTTGCGACTACTTTCTTAACAAACTTGTCATAAATTTCTTCCTGGACAAACACTCGTGAGGTAGCTGCAAATATTTCACCCTGCCAAAATGCCAAATTAAAACCCCAATATCAATCAGTATATCTACATGCTAAGAGTTGAGGAAAGGAAACTTGGGATGGAGATTACCTTATTATATGTGACTCCAGCTAAACCAAGATCCGAAACCTTGTCAACATCTACATCATCAAAGACTATGAAAGGAGACTTGCCTCCCAACTCTAGTGATACGGGTTTTAGATTGCTAGTTGCTGCAGCCTGCATTATCTTATGCCCTACTTCTGTCAACCTGTAAAACTAACCTGAGAGGAAATCATGAGACAAAAGTTTTAGTTAATAAAGAAGGCTAGCTATGGTTTTTTCTTTTCCATTTGAATGTTTACCTTCCTTAGCTTGACTGTTTAAGACATTTCTCTTTCATTGGGAATGTGTATTAAGGGAGATTACCTTATCAATGCCCATGTGAGAGCTAATAGCGGCACCAACAGTAGATTCAAATCCTGTAATCACATTCAGCACTCCATCAGGGACTTCTGCCTGTTTGTAGATTGAGAAAAACATAGTATTTAATTATATAAGAAGGGTAACAAAAAAAGAAAAAAGAAAAAAGGAAATAAGATGAAGCTTACGAGCTTAGCCAAATGAGCATAATAGAGAGCAGAAAGGGTTGTCTGTTTAGCAGGCTTGACAATCACAGTACAACTAGCTGCTAATGCGGCGGCAACCTTAAACCCAAATATTTGTCCCGGATAATTCCAAGGAATTATGAGTCCTATCACACCTATTGGTTCACACAATGTGTATGCTTGGAGCTCACTCGACATCTTGAGAGTGGTGCCATGGATTTTGTCTGCTGCACCAGTGTAGTAACGAAAATACCATGCTGTTGAAGGCACATCTGCATACTAAGATGTGCACTAAAGTGCGCAAATGATGCTTCCATTTTCTGGACGGTCTTACAAATACTACGGTATTGCTCTTCCATATCCTTGTGCTGCTATTGCATTACTTCCCTTTCCTCACGCCACCAGTGGCCTCCAACCACACTGCTATTTCAGCCATTTCTAATTGTTTTTGCTTCAAGTGAGACACAGTTTCCTGAAAAAAAAAAAAAAAAAAAAAAAAAAAAAGCATAATGAGACCACAAAGATTGGTGTATAACCATTATAAACTGTAAAGTGGAAAAAATTCTACTTCTACTTTTATAGGTGTTGCAGATCAGAATATTCAAGCAAACAACATACAGTTCATTCATTCTTAATTTACAGCTATTAAACCAACAACATAAATACCTTAACATCTGCTAATGAATGAAAAATCAAAATACCCCAACATCTGTCTATACTTGGGGATGAGAAAACTTCAGAACCTTACCATGTTTTCTCATGTTTCAAAAGATTAATAGTTTAGTCAAAGAAAGGAACCCCAAAAGTAATTTACAAAGTATAAGGATAAATTCAGATATTTTTTAAAAAATCGTTTAGAAGCAAAAATTGTACGTACCTCTACTTTGTCCCATGCTCCTTTTCTGACATTAGTTTTCAAATTTGAAACAATAGCAGAGCTAACTAACTGTCGATGCATGCCCATTTGAGTAATCTACAAATTCAAAAGTTGTGAACACCTATTTTGTTAAACTAATTAGAGAACGAAGAGATTGAATAAAAGAATAACCAACTTTTCATGAATTGTCTTGCTTCTTCTTAAAACGCTGGAAAAAAACATACCTGATTCTTGCTCATAGCCAAACAGATTAAAATGACTAGAAGATGCTACTCGTCGCTCGTCGACCAAATGCTGCTACTCGGCACTCGCAACCGGAGCTCGTTGACCAGATGTCAAATTAGAAAAGCTTGCCTTTCATTGGTACTTCAACAAGCATTCTAGAATTCCATGGTGGCCCGAGAAAGAAAGCCTTACAAGACACTAGAAATCAAAGCAAACCAGTATAAAAAAAATCAACAATATAAAAAGGAATACAACAATAAAACACTACACAGACAGCAACCATCTAACAAGATAATGACAAGTGAATCTCTTCTGCTCTTCACCATCATTATAATGAAAACATCATTTAAGACTTGTTTAGTCTAAAATGAATAACATTTAATTCTCAACTATCTATATGGACTATGGAGGGCAAGCTGATAAAGCAAGAAGCTTGATTAAGGATTAAGTGATTAACTAGGTTACACTTTAAGCTTTTATTAAAGCAATTGTGAACCACAATCAACATCAAATAAATGTAAAACAATTATGAGCCCTAACAAACTTGTAATCATCTTATTTGATCTAGAACGAAACCTCCAAACCTTAATATGCAAGTTCCAATACATTACATATCTAAGCATTTAAGTGCACAACCAAAAGTCATTTCACTTCATATATAGTGTGATGATATGGATGTCTCAACTGATCCTATTGAATCTAGTGATGAAGAGCCAGATATTCATTATTCACTGATTTTATCTTACGAATTTAGGGCTTAAATTATGATTTAGGGATAATGGAATTAGGAATTTAGGGATTAGGGTTTAAGATTAGAGTAATCGAAATATAGAACTATAGAACTAACCTGTAGCGCAGCAGAAATGGTGATGGCGACGAGCGACAGTGATGGCGACGAGTGACTTTGACGGCAAAGACCCAGGTGTGCGCTGCTAAGGAGACGAAGATCTGCTATTGGTGGGGGAGGCGGGAAGAAGCAGCTAAAGCGACGGCTTCTATGAATACAATAGATTTGCTGTGAGAGACTTGAGTGGAATAAGAAGAAGAGAGCGGTGTCTTCAAAAAAAAAAAAAAAAAAAAAAAAAAAGAGCGGTATCTTTTAAAAAGAAAGAAAGAAAGAGAGCGGAGAATAAATTAGCTAGCATATATATATATATATATATATATATATATATATATATATATATATATATATATATATATATATATATATATATATATATATATATATATGTGTGTGTGTGTGTGTGTGTGTGTACTGTAAAGGTATTTCCGACTACTGAATGTGGTCGAAACAACGAATATCAATTTAAAAAATTCGAATGGCGAAAATATTTTCATCCAGCCCAATCCTTTGACGGAAAATTAAAAAAATACCACCTTTTCCGACCCTTTTTGTGGGTGGTCGGAAAAGTGGTCAGAATTTAAGCATTTTCCAGCAGTGTATATACGTTTGTTTTTCAACCAACATATATAACGTATATACGTTTGTTTTTCAACCAACATACCACTTAAATAATTTAGGGAGAAAAAGTGCTATAAGTATATAACAAAGTGGGAAAAAGTGCCATTTTTCCTTTAATATACTATGTCGGTACTTTTTATGTCACTCTGATAATTGACATATGTTAGAAAAAAAAAAAAAAAAGTCAATGTAAAATCTATTTTTGTAGTAATGATGGCAGATGTAACGCAAACAACATTTAGCTAGATTATTTATTTTTGTAATTTTTTTTTTAGAGTTTGCAGACACATAATTTAAAGGTAGTTGGTTTTGGATTAAAGTCCACAATATCAGATAGACCCTAATTCTTGATATAACAATGGTCAATAATTATTAGAAACATCATATATCAATGCATAATTATGCATGGTATAAGAATTGGCAATAATTATTAGAAACATCATATATGAACGCATAATTGTTGATCGAGGCTGCAATAATGATATGATGACGTGAATGTAAGTTATGATGAATTTAATATGCTATCTAACAACACAAACGTTATGCATTGAACAAGAACACAGACCGCTGTATAAATTAAATGTCAAAAAGCAAATGAGTCTGAATAGAAGAGCAGAAGATCGAAAATGGGTGGCTTCAGGTTAAGCAACGGCGTCTCCTTTATCACGCTAGCGGCGGCTTTTGTTATGACAGTAATGCTCCTCCCGGGGGGCGCCCAATCAAGATCCCAACAGCAATGGTACATCGACTATTTGCCCAAGAACGTGACGGAGTTCTTGGACAACTGCACCGAGCACATGGCGTTGGACTGCGCGACGGAGATCGTGAGCGCCATGGTGCTGAAGGGGCGGCCGCCGTCCGACATCTGCTGCGGCGACCTCATGCTCATGGGGATCGAGTGCCACGTTTCGTTGATGAAGGTGTACGTGAACTCGCCGGAGGGGAAGCCCCACGCGGCGGTCATCACCGCCAATAGCCGCCGCGTGTTCGACGAATGCGTTGTTGTGGATAAGAAGCGTCGCTATGGTAACCTGGAGGGGAATGGGGTTAGCAGGCTAAAACCTCGTTCATACTAAAACCTCATTTGTATCGTATGTATCATCAACAGGGCTCTGCATATATAGCATGCCTGTAAATAAACTTTCGGTATTTTGTATGAGAAATGATCTTTTAAAATTAATTAATGGAGTACTCTGAGATTGCATTGTATACATGAATATATTTATACGTTGTTTTTTGTTACTTTCATTTTTAGTTTGTCCCAAAAATAATGTCATTTTTTAAAAAATTTAACTTAAATATCATTTTGCTCATTTTTTAATTTATCCTTTTGAATTTTTCAAATTTCTAGACAATTAATGAGATAAGTATATACAATTGTACCTTGTACAAATTACATTTACTTTTGAGGGGCAAAATTGGATAGTTAGTAACATTTGTATTTGATGTGGTAAATACGGCATTTACTATGAATACGTACGGTGTACTTGATTAAACCGGGTTTCGATCCTTATGTGGTCTGCTTGTTGATTTAATTTAAGATATTAAGCTTGGTTGTAGACGCGAGGCCAGAGGTACGGTTCCTAAGCTAAATGAAGTTATTCTCTCCACATAAGGGCTGAAGCCCGATCTGATCAAGTACATTGTACGTATTATATTCGCAGTAAACGCCGTATTTACCCCATCAATTTTGTTGCGTTAACAATCATGCAAAAAGCGAATGTGGCAAGCAATTATGGACGAATGGAGTATTATTTTGAAATATTGAATATAATGTACTCAAAATGGAAATAGGGAAAAAAATACCAACAGAAGATTTTTTTTTTTCTTTGTTCTTTTGGAATAATGTCACATTACATACAAAGAAATGCGTGTATGCAAAATGCCCTTGGATCGTAAAATAGTGCAAAATATAGTCTCAAGCATTGGCCATTATTTAAACAACTTTATTATTATTATCATTATTTTTGGCACACGAACACATGATATAAACAACAATATATCAGAAAGTAATTATTACGAAGATGACCAGTCCAGTAGTTCATCGATCCTCTTCATAACAACAAAGGTTTTATTTGCTCTTAATATTCTACATCTTTTGTATGCTCATAAAACAGCACCCTCCATCTAATTATAAGCTCTTCTCTTCGATCAGACCCTAAAATCACGTACATACATCAGAAAGAAATTAAGAAAATTCATAATTATAATATAATTTTAATTTAATTGGAAAGTTAATAAGCTAAGGATGGAATGTTGCACTCACTGGACATAATCAATATTGACTTTTCCGGCATTAGGGTCAGCGATAATTGCGAAGGCTTCTTGGGAGAGATCAATGGTGGCTTGGCAACCGGGAGATGGGCAACGGTCGACGATTTTGACGGTGACTTCGCCCCTGCAAGGCTGCGGAACGCCGGCGTTGGTGGGACCCGTGCATCTCACTCTGTACATTCTCCCGCACGCGCCACCGTTGGCGTATATGGGATCGCTAGCCGCCGCTATCAGTGTGCCTTGCTCTTGGAACCCATAGCATGCCGAAGCTGATCGATAATGAAGAAGCAACAGGATTTCAATTCTAAGCTAAGACGAGGTTAGGATTTAGGAAGATCATATCATATCAATGATATGATGCTCCAACAAAAGCTTTATACCAAACACAAATATTAATTTAGCCATCGCCTCCCTTTTTTTTTTTTTTGGTCAGTTACTCCCTCCATACCCTTTTAATTATATGTTTGATTGGAGTTATTTTTAACAATGTTATAAAATCGGCTTAGGGGACCGTCTAGGCACTGAAGAGGCCCGCGCTAGGCGTTCTTAGACTGAGACGATTTCCATGCTAGGCAGTTTTTAGTCGATCGGTTGACTAGGCGCTGAGTTGGGCGCCTAACTTGGTATAGTCGGTGTCCAACTCGGCCAAGTTTGCGCTCAACTCGGTCGAATGATTTTTTTAATTGCTTGGTCACTCATTTTCTATATTACTCTGGCAATGTACATGTACTCAACTAACAATCTAACATATGCAATTGACTAGTTTAGAGAATTATAACAATCTAAAAACTCTCATCATCCCTAAGTGAGAAAAGTGGAGATGATATACACAGATTACTAGCACGCCTAGGCAGCATCTAGGCGCCCCCGGGCGCTCGATTAGGTCATAGTGCCTTCTGCAACATTGATTTTTAATTCACTTTATCATAATGTTAAGATTAGTATTAGTATATAAAATTTATATATTAAAAATGTTGGTACCGTTGGTAGGAAAACAAATAATAATCAAATAAAATTGACTATTATTTTCTGGAAAGAAGGGAAGAAAAGATGAAGAAAAGTGGCTAGTGTTTGGTGTTGGGTTTTTGCAAGAGTCGAGTGAGCACTCTTTCCTTAAAACCTTATTTGCCACCTCCCAAAGATGCTAGGAGCGTTGTGGCCTAGGCTTCCTAGGATAAAACTTGCTATGACTCAGTGTTTGAGCATTCAAACAAAGAATCCGGCGAGCAAGACGTGGTTATGAACACAGTAGGTCAAGAAAGAGTAGAAGCAGAGAGGTTTTGAAGCTGAAAAAACGAACAGTCAGAACTTTCGGGTTCCTGACCGTTAGCGTAGCTCTCGGTTCGGTTCTGGCCGAACCAAGTGGAAAATGATACCGAAGTTTGGCATAACTTATGCCCGCAAGGCCAGTCAATTTCCGGACGACATTCGTGCCCCAGGTGCCGGCGCACACGAGTTCGGGCTTGAATCAAGCCTCTTCCAAGCTCTGCTAGTTGGAATTTGATTTGCACCCCCCCCCCCCCTCCCCCCCGCGCGAGAGAGCCTCTATGCTATACAATTCTACAAGCTTCAAAAGAGCTCTTGTATATAAGGGGGGGGAAATCTTCATTCCAAAGCAATGTGGGACAAAAAGCTCACTTTTTCCCTTCATTTTCCAACTCAAATAGGTCTACTTTGATGATCAATATCTCATTCACCCATTATCTGTTTTGAGCGTACAATATATCGATCTCTTCGTCTCACTACGAAGAATCCGAATCCACTTTAACCCGACCCAAATCGGAAGTGGACCCCACTGATAATTGTACCACAAAATAGCTACTTAACATGTCATTTTAAGCTATTTTTTCCAACAAAAAATACTACTAAATACAAAAAAATATTAAATTTAAAAATAATAAAGAGATACGCAAAAAATTAATTTGAGCAATAAAATTGATCAGATTATTATATTGATAACCACAAAATTATAAGTTCAATTATATATATATATATATATATAATACAGAGTATTTTTATAACGAATGAAATGACAGAATTGAAGAAAATTGACCAATAAAGTATAATATAAGAGTAAAATTAGTATTGGTTCTTAATAAAAAGCATATGTATGTAGAATATGGCTATGCCATATCTTTGTCTAGAAATATAAGTATATGAAGGGCATAGCCCATAGGGCGGGAAACTTACGAACGTAGGGCGGTGTGTAAAAGGTGGCAGTTCCGCTAATAGCAGATGCCATAACTA